GGGGGGGGGGGGGGGGGGAAAGGGAAGGGGGCTCGGAAGGGGTTAGATGAGTAGGTGGATTGATTGCTAAACTTGGCTGTAGGTTTCAGAAGGGAAAAAAGGCAACTAACTCACTTCCAGGTCCGCTTCCAAGCCTTGAGCAAGTCTATCCCAATCCGTCCAGAATCGCCTCTTGGCTTTGGTCCATGCGCCTTGCAGATGAAACGCAAAAGCCAGCGTGGCGAGCAGCGAAAGGCCGGCGGCTGTAGAAGACTGCATGGCGAGCGGCAATAGAGTCTTGCACGCGTCTTCTCCCAAGAAGGTGTTTGTGCTCAACCAAGGCGATACGGCGGGTAGTTGAGCGCTGATCAGCGATGCGCTCGCAACAGTACTGCTGGACAGGTAAAAACGCATCACGAGGGCTTGAGCTCGAGATACGAGCACCTCCAAAGGACCTCCTTGTGAAAAGATTTGCGAACGACGCGAAGTGATGGGCCATGCAAAGGATCGGGGTTGGAGCAGGTTCGAGCTGTAGGATCTAGCAGCTCGATGAAGCTTGGATTGCTGCGCAACTTGATTGCGCAGGAGCGGAGAATCGAAGTAGGACCTCTGAGAGCTCTCCACGTGACCTTGCCAGGACGTCGCGCCGCCCACCGACGAACTAGAGAGCTCGGCTCGGCCTGCATTCTCGGAGCGCGGCCGAGCGGTGAGGGTGCCGAGCGCAGCTTCAGTCACCTTCATCTGATCCTCCGCAAAGCTCAATGTTCTTCCAGCTTCGAATATGAGCTTAAACACGATGACAACGTTTCACATCAGCGTCCTTTTCGTGCGCAGGACCAGTATGCACGCGTCTCATGCACTCACTCGATCCTCCAAATCCTTCGAAAAGCTACTCCGCACTGCATTGTCCACCTCTGCCCTCACATCGTCCACTTTCCAGAGCAATTTCCACCAGGGCAACCTTTGTGAAAAGGTCTTTTCGAGCAAGGATGCAGAGTCGCTGGCGGAGCCCAGAGCGGAGCGGGACCTATCGCCTGCTCTGATGTGCAGCTTGTTATTTTTCGCCGAAGAGTCCACGTCGGATCTAGGAGATTGCAAGGGATTGGTAGAGTTGAGATGGCCCTTTGACAATACTCGCAGGGCCAAGCTATTCAAATCGTGCTGAATACCTTGTCGAAGCACATCGCGAAGGCCTTGCGCTCGTCGAACATCTTCTTGCGCGATGATCAAGCGTGCTCTAGCTTCTTCCAACGCGTGTCGCAATAGCCGTGCGGAGCTTTGATACGCGACACTTGCAGCTCGCCTTGATCTCGTGAATGACCTCTCAGCAGATGTTGGGCTCAAGAGTGGTGCGTGCAAGAAATGCGCTCGCAGTTCCGAAAGACCGGACGAGGCGGATAGCTGTGCGAAAAGCTCCCAAGCGTGCGCGGCGTCCGGTTTGGACGTTGAGGTTAACGTCGAATCGCCAGTCGTGCTCGACTTGCCTTGCAGACCCACCAGCGGCAAGCCAAGGCCAACGCGCAGATGCCCGTTGGCAAGCAATGCAGCAGTGGTAGAGACGTGAAGCACAAAGTGCTGCAAACCCCTTTGGCCAGCTGCTGCCTCTACGCTTGCATCGTTTTGAGACTTTTCGTCGAATCGTCCGACGTTAGCGCTGATGACTTCCTCTAGAGTATCCAACACACGTTCCTTCGCTGCCTCGTCGAGCGTCGCATCTCCATGATCGACCACCAAGACCGTACCAGGCCAGTCCAGAAAAATGGCCAACAAGTCCAACTGGCGTCGCACCCGCTCTATTCGCTCCGACGCGCCCCTCTCCTTGGCCAGTCTGCCCGTTCTGCGCAGAAGCAGAATGTCTTGCGCAGAGAGGAGGAAGATGTGCATGTCGCATTCGTACAGCGCGTCGAGGCAGCTCGTGCTGTCGGCTGATTCTGCGCACGGAGGATCAGGACGAGATTGAGATGGGTACGTTTCGCACCTTGCCTTGCAACTGCGCAGAAGCCGAGGACCAAGCTTCGGAGCTGAGCCTTTGCACTCACCCGCGACTTGCAGTATCTCCAACTGAGCTTCTCGCAGCCACGGCAAATCAATCTCGATCGCATCCTTGCTGACTCTGCTCGCAGGCAATCCGCTGTCAGACGCACTGACATGCCGATAAACAGGCATGGAGATGGAGAATGTCAATTCAGCGCATGTACGTCTGGCAAAGAGCGCGCTGGGACGACGCACCGGATCAGAGTGTGAGCATGGGGATCCACTTCGAGGGAAAGAGTCTTTGGAGTTGAAGCCAGATCGATTGTCGATGAAGCGCTGGAGCTCGAGTTGGAGCTTGCAAAAGCCAATGGATCATCAAGCAGCGCTTGCAATAATCGAGAGCTCGCATCGCTATTTGGAGCAACGACTGGAGAGCGTTGCGATATCAGACCCGCACCATTGACAAGTCAGTCAAAGATGTCGAGCACTTGAACGAGCTCTCACGGCCTCGACTCGGTCCGAACACTCACGCGCAGTGCGGACGTTTCGCTCCTCCGTTGCCGCTTCGTGTCGAGTGAGCGCCGTGCTGTGCCTCTCCAGTCTCTCTGCCGCGCGTCCCAGTCTCTCTGCCCACATCGAATCGCTCAAAGCCGGCATGCCAAACATCTGCTGTGCATCCCTCAGCGCCAAAAGCGACGCGTGACGAGGTGCCTCTGAAAGGTGCGACGATTGGCTTTGATGTTTGTTGGGATGATGAGATGTCGGCGATGCGGCGAGAGATGCCAAGGACCTTGTATGAAGCGTGGATGGGCGAGAAGAGAAGGAGCGGGAACGCTGCAGCGTGGATGGGCGATGACGTTTGCTGACGATCAAGTCCACATTCGCTCTGTGCGAAGTGCAAGTCGCACCAGCCTCGTCCGAGCGCTCAGCCCTGCTCGCATCTCCTCGTACTGTGACTGAAGCCGAAGAAGCACATTTCTCTGCGAGTGGGCTACCTTTGCACGTCCATCTTGCCTGCGCCGAGCTTGATGTATGGCAGCGTAAAGATGCTTCTGCAGGTGCGGCCACGCGATGGCAGCACGGAGGGAAGCTGCTGGATCGAAGGAGGAAGCTGTGCCGCAGCATGCTCTCTTCTTCTTGCTGCACCCCCCCCAGCGAGCTGCAAGAGATGCGTTGGAAGATTCGAATAGACAAAGGGCGGGCAGATAAAGCCGGATGCTGCTGGTGCTCGCGCTAGTGCTGGTGATGGAAGCAGGTCCCGCTGGAGGTTGAGTGCGATGCGTGATTGTGATTGAAAGTACAGATGAAGGCTGGCTGTCTGGCTGGCTGATCGGTGGATGTTTGTTGCC